TGTCTATTCCGCAGCCCCGCGTCTAAGACTTTCCAGAAGCTATTTCTGAATTGCATGTTTCCTGAAAATTGGTAAAAAACTATAAGCACGTGGCAGAGTGAGAAATATTATACTAAGAGTATAAGGGCACGAAATAACCATGGATAGTTAATTAGGCCAAAACATTTATATAAATAAATCCTTTGAGTAGCAGAAATCATTTGAATAGCAGAACTGAAATATATAGATTATGTAAGTAAATAGCCATAACCATGGTACAGAACAGAACAGAGGTCACAGAAGTGACAGTCAGAACAGAGGTACGGATTCAAGAGGTGACTCGTACGGATTCTAGAGGTGGCTCCCACAATAGTGTAGCACTTAGTTCCGCACAGCACTTTGGTCCGCACGGAACAGAGGTACGGATTCAAGAGGTGGCTCATACGGATTCTAGAGGTGGCTCCCACAATAGTGTAGCACTTAGCTCCGCACAGAACAGAGGTCAATGGATCAGAGGGCCATAAAGTAACCAAACAGAGGCCAATGGTTATTTAAGTTCCCAAAGGCGTGGGACTCCCATGGTGGTACTTACAAAGCATAATTTTATATAAGGTCATAGCCAAATATTCTTTAAAATATAAACAGACATATCCATGGGTTTCCTTTTAAGAAAATAGGGTTCAGAAGATAAACCATGTAACTGAAATTTTTATAAAACATAATTTTTATTAAAAACATAACTTGTATAAAACAAATTTTGGTAAATCAAAACATACGTAAAATATATTTTGATAACTCAAGATATAATATAACTCATCTTAACTTTAATACCTTACTCCTTCTTTTCACTGTCAAAGACCTTTTCGGCTTCCATTATATTTCCTTTCTTTCTCTCCTCTGTTTTCTTCTTTCTTTTTCTTTCTTCTTTTCTTCTTTCATTTCTGCAGATCACCTCTCTCTATTTATAGACAGGTGGACGTATTATTCGGCCAACGCGTGTCCCTCATCTCAGATTCGATAATTAATTATATAGATTCGTTCTTATCTTAATAGATATTTAAGATAATTATTTTTGACTCAATTTTTTAATATAATTATATAAATAAAATAATTTCTAATTAAATTACACTTTATCGTATACTAACAAATATTAATTATTTATTTTAATATTACACTCATTATTATTATTATTTATATTATCTATATTATTATTATTTATGTTTTGACCTCTAAACTTTTAATAATTATATTATTTTACAAAATCACGCATAATAATATATAATAAATTATATATTTTCCGAACTGAGATTAAATAATATTAGTATAAATTTTACAGAATAATTAAAAATCTGAGTTGTTACA